AACATCAAAAGTTTATTTAATTTTAGTTGATTTACTAATGAGAAAGACAGTTGACTGTCGAGAAAAATTTTTGGTTGAATATAATATAAACATTTGAACTGAACCAATAGCTTCTCTCGACAGTTGACAGTCGCGTATGCTTACTGCGTATGTGCTCAGGTCCCTATGGACGCAAGGCCTCACGGGTGTAACGAGCTATTTACATATCAGCATTGTTATAAGACTTCATAAAAACTGCAAGGCTCTAATGGACAATACGAAAACTTGTCTTCACGATGAAAATAGACGTAAAGTCTGCGGACCTTGCGGTAAAAAAATTTTTTTCGGGAAAAGAAAGCCGAATGAATTTCTTATAAATGAAAAGTATGAATCATTGATTAAGATGTTTATAAACAAAGATTACGATTTAAATAACGAGAAATTTCCCCTAAGCATATGCAGAACCTGCTATCTTACTCTATTTGATGCAAGTAAGAATATTTTTACAAGACCTTTACCAGGTATGCCAGATTACATTTGTTTGGTTTTACCTAAAAATACTCGCACATCTACGGACAGTTGTAATTGTTATATATGCTTAACAGGTAGACATAAAGGTCATGAAAAAGTAGTAAAGGGTAGAGGTTGTAAACGAAACTTTGAATCTGAGATTGACACAACTAACGGTCTTTATGGATCCTCAAATAGTGACAAACTTGCAAAGAAAAACATCCAAAAAAAGGAAAAAATTACCCTTCAAGTGTGTAAAAAATGCTTACAAGAAATCAGCAAAGTTAAGAAGCATTCATGTAACAATATGCAAGGTGTCTTGAAACTAATGGAAAACGTTCCCGAGAAAAAGCAAGAATACATTGCGTCTAGTATTATTAAAACAAAAATTCATTCTGAAGACAATGCAAGCGGGCGCATTAGGAATAAGCAAATTCAGTTGAGTACAAAGGGTTCGAAAATGAAAATTGTTGTCAATCCGAATGAAAAAAAAAACACTACGTTCAGCGAGGAGCGTTTGGATAATTTGCGAGTGAATCTTGGCTTATCTAGCAATAAAATGAAGAATATTGCTAACTTTCTAAGATCAAATGTTGGGAGAAAGTCAGTACCCGCTGATTACAGTAGGCACATGTCAGGGCAATCTAAAATTTTACAAAATATTTATAAAAAAGGTAAATACTCTTTTGATTGTGACGATAGAAAAAAAGAAGAAAGACCAGTAGTTTACACAGATGCAGAAGAACTTTTTGATGCAGTTGTTACAGAGAGAAAATTTCAGGGAAACGTTTGTGTTAAAGCAATGGCCGACGGGGGTGGCGGATTTTTCAAAATTTCTCTATCAATATTTCAAGAAAACTGTGATTACGATGATGATGATGATTCAACAATTCAGAATAGGAATCGAAGATGTCTGTATTTCGAAGGTGGTAGCGCAAGTAAGAAAGCGAAATTGATGAGCGTTAAACGAGTTGTGTTGCTATGCATTGTTCCTAAGATTAAGGAAACATATGAAAATGTTAAACTTTTGTTTGAAATCACTAAAATAAATAATATTCCCTTTAAGTTCGTTTCGGATTTCAAATTGTTGCTTATCATAAATGGCCAACAGACAGCATCTGCAATGTTTCCTTGCCCCTACTGTTTCATTTCACTCGACGACCTGAGAGAAAACAAGGAAGAACGCTATAGTCGAGTACCTCGACTATCAGATACCCGTTACTCAAAGGGAAATGGAGATATGCAAGCAGCAAAGCGAAATTAAAATGCGCCACCTACCGGCGGTAGACAGATTTAAGCGTTATGGGCGTTAGAGTGGGCGTGGCAAAATTATTTTTGGATCAATCGATAGGTATTGACGACACCAATACATTTCAGTTAAAATTTTTTATCTAGCATGCAAATTGAGGGCGTCACAGGTTTTCGCGGTTTGTGGGCGTTTAAGTGGGCGTGGCAAACTTTTTTTTAGGTCAATCGATAGGTATTGATGAGAACAATACATTTCAGTTAAAATTTTCTATCTAGCATCAAAACTGTAGGAGTTACAGTTTTGGGCGGTTTGTGGGCGTTAGAGTGGGCGTGGCAGTCTACTGAAACAAACTTGCGCTGCGTAAGAAGCTCAGGAATCTGTACGCCAAATCTCAATAGCCTAGCTCTCATAGTTTCCGAGATCTCAGCGTTCATCCGGACGGACAGACAGACGGACAGACGGACAGACGGACAGACGGACAGACGGACAGACGGACAGACGGACATGGCTAGATCGACTCGGCTAGTGATCCTGATCAAGAATATATATACTTTATGGGGTCGGAAACGCTTCCTTCTGCCTGTTACATACTTTCCGACGAATCTAGTATACCCTTTTACTCTACGAGTAACGGGTATAATAAGACTCCTACGCAGGAGGATGTAAGCAGTTCTCATTGTAGTTCGGATGCAAATAATTTAAAAACCAATGTCACGAGACTAAAAACTTTCGGAGATTTAAGAAATGATTTCGAACAGTTCGATCTTTCTGGTAGAAATAAGAAAAACAGCAAAGAGTTTCACAGTACTATCAACTCTCCTCTATTCACAGAAAGTGATGATACCACCGTGTTAGAAAAATGCGTTATTCCTGAATTACATGTGTTGATGGGTTTAGTAAATCATCTATTTTGGAAGGGTTTAGTACCCCTTTTGGGTAAAGAGAAAGCTTTGATCTGGCCGAAAAAGTTAAAACTTATTTCCAAAAACTACCACGGAGATTGTTTCGAAGGCAACGCATGTAGGAAACTTTTAAAAGAAGCTCACAAACTAAAAGATCCTGAGATATATGAAAAAGTCGGTTATTTGAAAATCATACCCTTTTTCAATGCTTTTGTGATAATGAATAAAGTTGTCGATTGCAGTTTCACATCTGGTAAAGTAGGACCAGAACTGGATATTCATTTAAATGAGCTTAACGAAGCTTTAGATGCTTTACATGAAATTGAAGACGTCTCTATAACATTGAAAATACATGTATTAAAAACTCACATTAAAGAATGTCTTCAGTTCATAGAACACAATAATGGACTAGGGTATTGGTCTGAGCAAAGTGGGGAGTCACTCCACCGCGAATTCTCTCAAACTTGGGAGAGGTATAAAATTAATACTATCGAAGACGAATTATACTTAGAGAGGCTTTTCAGAGCAGTTGTAGAATTTTCATCACTCAATGTATAATCGAAATTCCGATTCCAAAAAGGATTGTTATTCCTCAAATTTTTATATAATAATGACGTATTTATCTGTAGCACCAGACGTCATTTTATTTTATTTTTCATCATTTGAACATTTCTCGATAAACGAAAAACCACATTAAAAACAAAACGAAAACAAAATAAAAAAAACAAAATACAAAAAAATATAATAAAAATCAAAAAATTACAAAAAAAAAATATGGGTCCAGATTACCACTACGTCCACGCCGTTGGTCCCGGGTTACGCTGAAAGTGGTATATTCAAGTATTTAAATTTTTTCTGACAAGATGTCTTATTAAACTAATTAATCCAACTCTAAATTAACTAAAACAATACAAAAGAAATATATAAAACACATTTAATCTGTATTTTATCTTATCTGTGCAGACTTATTTATAATCCACTTAGAGTATACATATGAAGATATATACACATGTATCTTTAAAATAGGATCAGGTATGATTTCGCTGTTGAAAATTCTGAAACTAGAGCTCATGTAGGAAAACTCTACGTTCAAAAACCTTCCATCCATTTTCAAAAACCCTGCTTCTGCTTCAAGAGCACTGTGACCCACTTTGCATCCCTGGTTTTCCCGATTACTCGATTATTGAGGGATGGCGACATAACAGTTTCTTACACTGCTCGCTCCATGACGTAAGCGTACAAAGAGAAATTGAAATACCAAGTTTCGTCATCAAAATGTATTTAAATCGGACTATTGCAATCTTGGGAAAAGATGTCTTGCTACTTGTATATCTTATTTTCCTCGCTCTCCCTGTGTGCTCACTACACAAAGCTGAGGATCGGGTATCTGGTAGTCGATTGTATCGACTATAGCGTTTTCCAAACTGATGTGCTTTAATATGAAACTGATATGATTTCATATCGAATAAATATCAAACTGACATGCTTTCACTTAATGAGCGTTTCCACCATCTGTCTACGTTTTGAACGGCCTGCTCAGAGAGATGGGTGTGGGTTTGTGTTAAGAGGTAACAAGAGTATCACAGAACTAGCAGTACTAGACAGAGAGACGATAACGATTTAAATTTTAACCCAACGGCTAGGACTCGGACGAGAGTGTACCTATCGACGATGAAGGCCCAGATGTTAATAGCCTCCATCTATACCCACCCTGCGCTACACTCTCTAAGGTGCCCTCAAAAGATCACTACTTAGTTCACCTTAAATTTCATTAAATACCCTGGTTTTCAATACAAGATTATCAAAAGGAAAAGAAAGGGATATTTATTTTACGTTAAATAATTACTGTTTGTTTATATATGTAATCGATAGACGATATTCATATTAAAAGACTAGCACTTCAGCGGATTACTTAAAATTAATCAATGGCGAACGATTCTTATTTAACATTTATCGATATACGAATGTAAAATGTAGGTCAACGAATGAAAATTTATTTAGATTTGTGTTTTAAAAGTGTGCAAGCTCAGACAAGAATGAATATATGTAAATACACATATATATATAGAAATGTAAATAATTTACGGCTATGCTGTAAACGAACTTTCCAATAAAGTCAGCAGGCCTAATGGTGTTCAATGCGCGACGTAGAACTGGGAATGTTTCAATTTATGTGTATATATGTTATACTATTTCGTAGGCACACACGTAAAGATTTTGGCTTAAAAGCAAACGTAAGGTGACTTAGAAACTTGTCTTAAATATATTTAGAATAAGGAAAACTAATCTACAATTACGCCGTGCTTGCGCGCTCGCCTGCTCGGTTTTCGCCGAATCGGCGCCTATGCGATATTCGCCAGATCTCCAACTTGATCCGACTTGTCGATCATGGTGCGAATTTGGTAAGGTTAAAGCTCAAGCGGGTGGACGCCGGCGATCCCTGGGGCAGCTTCTGGTTTGACGCTGATGAAACAAGTCCAGGCGTGGCAAGGTTGAAAGATCCAACTCTCGCGGTTTGCGTTATGGGAATCTTTAAATCAGATTCTGGCGTGACGCCTAAGAAACGTATGATCTAGGCGTAGCACTGATGAAATGTTGTGTCGGAATTTTGGTCCGCTAATTAACCGCTTCACGAGGCACCTTCTCCTTGCTGTGCGCAAAGGGAGGATCTAAATACTTTCGACACTGCTATTTTCCGGGAATTACGGTTAGATATTGCCAATATTCCGTCCCAATTGTCTTGCCACCAATATTGGGCATGTTAATGTGTTGTACTGATAACAAAAATTCCTAGAAATTCACATGCGGTATTATGGAAGCGGTGGGATATGAAAAATGTAACATTCTTTACGGATCGAACGAACTGTCTTTGGGAAAATCTTTCAGAAAAGAGGAAGAAATTATGTCGTCTAGAGTGGACGTAGGATGCACAAAATACCGTAAATCCATCAAAATGTTTTTTTTTGATATTCGGTCGAGGATCGAATTCTTGCTAAACTGAAGGCTTGCAACAGGGCTCTTTATCTTAATTGCCATGGGGAATGTCCTAACTAGATATATGTAGCCGAAAAATATTTTGACTCTCACAACTAATGTTCTTTCATATCAATTTGTAATTTATCGTATCAGATTGATATGATTGTAATATCAATACTAACCAGTTTTGATTTAATTTTTTTGCTCTTGTATAAAAAAAAAATGAATATCCTTTAAAATTTGCTTAAATTTTTTTATTTTGACCACATTTTTTGCCAGGGAGTCTTTCTCCTGTCCTCGATATATGACTCCCAGCATTGTAGTGTACGGTAACCTGCCCAACTTGGCATCCTGGCCAGCCATTTGACTTTGCAGTAGTGCAGTGTGTGTAGTCCAGCCCCCGAAAATCACGTTGCGGTGTCCAAGAAGCAAATAAATTCGAATAAGACAAACTTCAAGTAAATACAATTCAGTATGAGATACTATCCATTGGCAAAATCAAATAAACAGCGAAAAATAGTCCACTTTTATACAACAACTTTAAGTCGAATGTCACAGTGTCCGCGGCAATTCAGTCAAAAAAATAGATGCAGATTTCCAGAAACGCTCATAACGCTTAAATGTGTCTGCTGCACACATAACCATATATTGAGATAGCAGGTAGGTGGCGCTTTACAATGTCGGTTTGCTGCATGCATATGTCCATCTCCCTTTTGCTTTCTTAGTTGAGCAGTGGAAATATGATAGGCGAGGCTCTCGACTATATCGTTCTTCTTCATTTATATTTTAAAACATTAAAAACTCTTTGCTTTTATACATATGTATATATATACAAATCATTATATTTGGAAAAGAAATAAGATCTTATTAAGCATAAAATTAAGAAGACTTGGTAAACAAAATACCTTAAAATCCCAATACTTTAGTCATTTTGCGGAACTTTCGTCCGCTCGCTAAGGTGTTAAATCAACCTCAGTGTAAATTAAATTTGATTTTATTGATTAATACCTATCAAAGATCTGACCACAGCGTTTCTGACCATATTAAAAAAAAAATATATTTTTGGTCAGGAACGCTATGAACCCGGATCTCAGCGGAAACTGTAAAACCTACAATGTTGGAAATAGGTATGCAAGTTTGATTCAACAGGCTGACGGGCTCACTCTAACGGTCATAAGCCGCCAAAAATCGTCCCAATGAACGCTGATACTTCGAAAACTATAAAAGTCAGATAGTGAGGATTAAGCATGTTAATTCTAGAAATTCTGCAGCATCTCAAGTGTGTTTTAACGCCCAAAGCGGTCGTGGCCGCAGTTCCCTTGCGTTCCCCTTTGGTTGAGTAAGGGACATCTGATAGTCAAGCACTCGACTATAGCGTTCTCCGTCATAAAGTTTTTTTTATAAAATTTAAAAACGAAGTCCTTGTACATGTTTTATTAGCCAAAAATCAAATTAAAAACAACTCTTCATTCTAATACAAAAAAGTACAAGTGTATGCAACCCTTTAAACCTTAAAACGAGTTTTTAAATCAATCGTCTTCATCAGATTTGGCTAATTTCTCAGCGATATTCATTTGCTTTACGAGAGTAAAGACGGAGAACGAAAACTTGGTGACCTGCAAAATACCAGTTAATGAAAGTATTGTAAGTGGAAGTTCTTAGTCGCTTACACTGATGTTAGTTCCCACCGATATCGGAAATATGTCCATAGCCATAAAGGTTATCGGCTGTTGTAGTTTCTGTAGGAAGTACATGACAGTACTTCTGTAGCGCCTCTGCCCATCGATCCAATTGGAATGAAACAAGGCATCAGACAGTATATAGCAGTCTTCTGTAAGATAGTTGCACAGAATACAAAAGGGCGTCGTCTCCAGAAGCACAGCAGCCATGAAGGACAGCGCTGCGATAGCCGATCCCAAATTAGCAAACAAAACAATGTTGATTAGAGTGAAGCCCAGCACCAATCCCACTACCAGGAACTGCACAAATATGGTTCCAGAGATAACAGGGCGCAGACAGTTGACAAATCTGCGAATTATTTACACGAAAAAACAGTAATCATTAAATACAAATAATTGAAAATAGAATTTTTTAGGGATACGCCCAAAACCCAAACGAACTGGTTCTGCCTAATTTATTCACAACATTCCTTAGATGAGCAGTTACATCACTGTGGACGGCAGTCCACGTAGGGACAAACCGCACCAGAAGGGTGTGCAAAGGCGACTACCAAATAAAAATCTACTGTGATCGTACGATTGCATACCAAGACACAAAAAGGCACAAAAAAAATCATTTGGTTTATGAGAAAGAGAGGTGAAAGTGTAAGCATGATTATTTAGAAAATTTTATCTGTTTTGGCCGGTGGAGATAAATACCCGCCCTATTAAAAAACTAGTATTCTCACTTAAAATACGTGTCGAATGACACCTTAACTGTTCCGTTCAAAATTCATACGCAAAACAAGACTTTGGGGAACTTCCCAAAATTAAAATTTTATTTTGTTTCTCAGTTTGTCCCAAAACGTTACTTTAGAGTCTTGAAAATTCTAGACGGTGCTAAACAGGTCAATATTAGAAACATTAGTTCTACCACTTTTGGAAAAACTATTTAGTTTGGCGAGAAAGCGGCTATAAATAGCTAAATGTTGTACACCCGTAAGTCCTAGTATTCAACCCAACAAAAAGTCGTCCAAAACATAAAAACTTTATATCAAAAAAACGACACAACATTTTGGTGCCTTTTTTTGTATTAAGTTTTTGGTTTTGAACGACTTTTTGTTAGGTAGTATACTAGGCTAACTTGTGAACTACTAAAGCTACAGGATTGTGCTATATGTTATTAGAAAGGTTTTTTGAATTACCTTGCACACCTTTTTATCATAATTTGTCTAGATACCACCGTTTTAAGGTTATGGGCCAAAGTTGTTTTTTTAGATTTTTTTTTAGCTTTTTTCTTAATTTTTTAAAGCCTTTCTATCGATTTCTAATTTAATTTTAGGGTGTATAGCCCTTGAGATTCCTCATCTTTTGACGTACGACTTATTGTTGTAAACAGTCTCGTTTCCAAGTTAGTTATCAACAAAAATGGCCACATTTCAGAACATCGAACACTGCCAGTGCATTGACCTTTTTTGTGCGTATCCAAACTCTATTTGAAGGTCCTGGAAATTTAAGACGATGTTAAAAAGCCCAATATTAGTTACTTTAGTTTTACTTCTTTTGGAAAAACTTGTTAGTATGGCAGAAGAGCAGCTATAAGTAACTATATTTAGTACACCCATAACCTGTAAACTACTTAAGTTAAAGGCTTGTGCGACATATCGTTAAAAAGAATTTCGAAATACTTTTTACGCCTTTCGAAACAACTTTTAATCCTTATCTAGGTTAAATCAAACATTTTCAAACATCCGATTACACTGTGTAAGAATCTTTTTATGTGCGCTTCACAGTGCGCTGCAATTCAGTATGCTTGGGTTTAGCTGTACGATTTTGATAAAGCGTGCCGAATGTAAAAAAATTAAGAAATTGTATTTATCTAGTAGATCGTGTTATACATTAATACATTACAAAGGTTGATATCAGAACTTTTATTTGCTGAAGGTGCGGTCGTCACTAGATTTTTACCTCGCTTAGAGGTGTTTTTGTTTGATAGGATATGTCCCCAATTAACCAAATTCTAAACCTCCGACTTTCATTAATTTATTTATTATTACTTATTTTAAATTTTAATCTTTTGGACGTTACACAAATACACTTGCGTTGCGCAAAAAATTTTAGAATCGAAATGCTTAGCACCAACTTTCAAGCTGTTACAGTTTCCGTAAAATCAGATCGAATCGGATGGTGATTCTAAGTAAGAATATATGTATGTATGATGAGAAATACTCTCACTTGACGTTTATTATAATGATATATATTAAGTATTATGGTTAACAATGATATTTGCAGGATAATTTCCGCGTTTCGGCTTTTCTTAAAGTATCGTTCGGGTTTCTATTTTTTCACTCTGCTGCTGAAAATCGACTCTCTCGGCTGACTGTCACTTCCCGAATCCCGCTTGAACTCCTCCGACTTTTTCTGCTCTTGCTCTGCTTCTCTCCTCTCTTGTCGCTCTGCTTTTAATTCTGCTGTTGCTCTGCTTTTAGTTCTGCTGTTGCTCTGCTTTTGTTCTCTCCTGTCGCTCCGTCGTTCTGCTTTTAATTCTGCTGGTTATCTTACTCAACCGTCTTACATTCGGCCATTCCTGACTAATCATCTGTCCCAGATGACCAATCGTCCGCATTGTCCTGGACATATCGCCACAGCTTCATATAATCACAACTGGTGAACGTTTTAGATGGGCCTTCAAAGTCTGCTGCTTTCCGAACCTCGTATCTGCCATTCCTCTTGACACTTGAAACTTCGTACGGTCCCATATATTCTCCCGCCAACTTCTTTCCTGCAACAAGCTGTGTGCGGCGTATAGCGACTAGGTCTCCCACTTTATAATCGACTTCCGGTTTCCGCTTTAGGTCAAAGTTCTTTTTATATGATTCCTGTGCGCGTTGAAATTCAATCTTTGCATCTTTTCTCAGTTGCTGCCGTTGTTCGTCAAAACTTAAGTACATCTCCTCCTCCAAAAGCTGTAGAATACGATCCATTGGTTTATTGTTCATCTTCACGCCAAAAAGCAGCTCAAATGGTGACTTTTTAGTTGACGCATGTACGTGGGAATTAACCGCTCTCTGGACCTCCGGCACTGCTTTAAACCACTTGGCTGGTTCATCTGCCGAAATTTTTGAAATAATGGATAAAACTGTGCGGTTCACCCTTCCAACATGACCATTTCCACGGGGAACTCCGGTTGTGCTCCAAACGTGCTCGATTCCGTTTGCCTTCATATGTTCTGCAAACGAGTTGGCCGTGAAAGCGGAGCCTCTGTCCGAAACTATCCGCACAGGGTTGCCAAAAATTTCCGACCAAATCCTTAACTTCTTCAACGTTTCCTCGCAGCTTGTAGTTTTCGTTGGGAACAGCCAAATAAATTTTGTAAATGAATCCACCATCGCAAATATGTACTTATACTGTTTTCCAGTGGCATCCATGGGGCCTAGATGATCAACATGCAGCGTGTGAAGGGGTTGGTCACCTTTATCAATACAGCTTAAGAATCCTTCTTTCTTGCCAAGTTTTTTGTTGAAAATTATCTCACACAGTTGTTCACCACCTGCTGAACCTTCTGTTCTAAGTGAGGAATCCAATACAATTGTTGAACAGAGTGAACAGTTTTCTGTAATGCAAAATGACCTGCACTGTGGGTGTCGACAATAACTTCTTTTTCCATCGCTTTCGGGATCACGAGGAGGTTGTTGCCTTTCACCTCCTTATAAACAAGTTCAGCTTTCATCTTGTAGCCCTCATATGGACAGCTGGTCAGAATTTCCATAATTGCCTTTAGCATCTGTTCTTTTCCTTGTGCGGCTTTGATCCGAGCTGTGATCTCCGAGGATACGAGCATCACACGGTCGGGATAGCGACTGAGACAGTCAACCACTGCATTAAGACCGCTGCAAATCCATCTTTTGATGCATCCGTGTGTAACTCTGTTTTGGCCCCTCTGATATACAACTTTAAAACGGGTTCTTTCGTCAAGGCGTCCTTCAAACTTTGGAATGCGTTCATCTGCGGCTCGGCCATTTGAAAGAAAACATCTTTTCGCAGCAGGTCAGTCAATGGGCGTGCAATCTGCGAATAATTCAGTACGAATTTTCCGAAAAATCCAGTCAGCCCTAAAAACGCTTGAACCGCTCTGACGTTTTTCGGCACCAAAAATTTGCTGACCGCAGCTGTCTTTTCTTGCCCAGGCCATACGTTTCCGTCCTCAATGTTGTGGCCAAAAAAATAAATCTTCTTCTGCAAAAAGTGACATTTTCGCCACTTTATCTTCAGGCCAAACGCTCCAGCTGTGTTAAATACCAGTTTCATCTTCTCCAAACATTGCTCTGCAGTTTCGGCGTGAATTATTATGTCATCCATGTACAAGTCTAGTACATCCCTGTTCATCAGCTCTTGGAATACATAATTTACGTAGCGAATAAAAACTGCTGGCGAGTTCCGAAATCCAAACGGGGTTCTATTGAATTCGTACAATCCGTATTTAGTGATGAATGCTGTAAATTTCTTGCTATCCTCCTCAATAGCCACGTGGAAGAAACCATTCTCCAAGTCCATCGCAGTAAAGAACCTCGCTTTTTGCAGCTTTTGCAGAACGTCGTCTATAACCGGAACAGGAAAGCCGTCTCTCAACACCATTGAGTTCAGCATCGCGTCATACTCGATGTCCTCATCCTCAACTACGACGAACTTGTGTGGCGTCATTTCCTGGTCTACTGCAACCTCAGCCAAAAAGTAGCCAACTGGGTACGTAATCTTATTTCCCAGCCCACGAAACTTGGACGCACATCTCTCCAAAATAACATTTGATATTTTGTTGAAAATGTACTTGCGCAGAATAGATACATCGGCTCCCGTATCTACAAGACACTTCACTTCCACGTGATTGATGCTAACCATTTTCATACGACTTGCACTGCGTACGACTTGGACTCCAGCAACTGACCCAGGGCAATCTCTTGACATGTGCCCCTCTTTGTTGCAACTGAAGCATTTCACGGCAGACTGGCAATCCTTGCGGAGATGATCTACTGACCCACAATTGAAGCAGTGAATCTTCCAGTCGTTGAAATCTTGCTGCTTCCTCTGGTTCGACGCCCACTTTCCGTCGTTCTGCTTGTACGGCTTGTCGACCAAGCGGTCGAAAAACCTCATACTGCTCCTGTAGCTCTTTGTAGGACTTGCAACTGTAAAGAGAGTATCTGAAATCGCTCCTCATGTTTAGGCCGTCCGCAACATAGCGGATAACCGAGCGTGCATCAATGTTGCCAAGTGAAGCAACCTTTTTCATCTGCAATAGGTATTCGTGAAAAGATTCCTGCTTGCGTTTCTTGCGATCGCGGATCTGCTCATGCACATCCGCGCTGCACACATATTGTCGGCTGAACTCAGTCTCCAGCAGCATACGCATCTCTGAGTATTCGTGTACGTACGTAGAATCCAAAAACAACTTTGCTGTGTTCGTCATTTTGGCACGAGCCTGCACGTACATCTGTTTTATGTTTAGACCGTAGGCCGCAGCATTCAGCTCAAAATTGTCAAACCAATTCTTTACCGGTATAGACTCTCCGTCAAACTCTGGAATGATCTTCGCAAAGCTTTCAGCCGTAATCGAGCAACTGTTGTTTCGCTCATCCACTCCAATCTTAATAGCAAGCAGCTGAACCAGGTCTTTCAGGGTTCTTGTATTTTCGTCGATAAAGCTGCTTTCAATTAAACCGGCTGCTCCACTTTCCTCTCCGCTGATTTCGGAAGGTTCTTGCACTCCTTTAATTTCTTTTGGATTTCCACCTGCACTTATTTCGCAAACGCTTTTCGCCGGCTCACTCATGTTATTCATTTTGTCTGCTGCAGCCACTGATCTTGTATAATACGGCTGTTTTCCTTTTGAAGTTGGTATTCTCGAAGGTTCTTTCTTTATTTCCTTTGCGCTTACACTCATTCCCCGTTACTGTCAAGCTGTACTTCTTCCTCTTTTGCGACTTTCCGGGAAGGCGGTGAGACTTCTCGGAACGGCGTCACTTGCAATTTTTGAGTTAGGACGGGCCCCCAAATGTAAGATGAGAAATACTCTCACTTGACGTTTATTATAATGATATATATTAAGTATTATGGTTAACAATGATAATTGCATAATAATTTCCGCGTTTCGGCTTTTCTTAAAGTATCGTTCGGGCTTCTATTTTTTCACTCTGCTGCTGAAAATCGACTCTCCTGGCTGACTGTCACTTCCCGAATCATAGAGTAAGAATCTATATAGAGGTTTCAATTGCTCTGCCCGAACCTCTGCCCA